ACCGAGGCGCCAAGCTCGCGTCTACAAAGGGGAGGAAGAGTCGGAGGCGGGGGTGTGCTTTTTGATTTGGGATTGGGTTTAGGGGTTGGGGGTTTAGGGGTTTGGGGGTTTAAGGGTTTAGGGGGTTTAGGGGTTCAGGGGTTTTGGGGTTTTGGGGTTTTGGGTTTAGGGGTTTAGGGGTTTAGGGGTTTAGGGGTTCAGGGTTTCAGGGGTTAGGGTTTAGGGGTGTAGGGTTTAGGATGCGGGTGCAAAGTTTTGGGTTTGGTGTTTACGGTTTGTAGGTTTAGGCTTTATGACGTTTTTTAATATTCTAGCGAAGAGAATTGGTTACGGTGGTCGCGAGGCGACCGCAGGGAGGTTCATCTAAATATTTCCCGAGGATCCGCTGGAAACGTTTCCGAGAGAGCCACGTCATTGCCTGTGAGGGTGATCTCCTGGGGTCTCCTGGTGGTTCCCTCGTGTCTCTTACCCCAAACCCTAAATCCGTGGTCTGCTGTTGGTCTCGTCTTGATCTTGGCGTAGTGTCCTGTAGGTTGTGGTCGTGGTCGTCCTGGAGGTTGCCGTGGTGGTCGTAATGTAGGGGCCTTAATAACTAGACTAGGGTTTTGGGGGGTTCCCTATTATAATGATGGTATAATATACCCCAAACCCTATTCAAATCATTAAGGCCCCTATAATAGTTGTGCTCGTCGTGCTGCTCTATCTGTTCGGGGGATCTAGGCTGGCACAGTTTTTCAAGTTACAAGGGCATAAGAACGGTGCTACAGGGTTTTGCAGAGGGTGGGTTTGTTTGTAGGTTGGGGCTTCCATGCTCTGCTGGTCCTTAGAGTATGGATCCTACTATTTCAGTCCGGTTTTTCGGGGGCCTGCCTGCCAGGAAATCCAGGTTCCTGTAGCCGGCGCGGTTTTGGATTGGGTTTTTACGGGCTGGGTTTAGGGTTGAATTAGGGTCTAGGGCTGCTTTAGGCTTAGAGTATACGGGGTTCACGGCGGGTTGTGGACTTGCGGGGTTTCTGTTGAGGGGTGTTCGGCTATCGTTGTTGTCGAACTCATTAGGGGCAGTTGTTGAGACCTGTTCTTTCCTAATCGCGGTGCTGCCCTGCTCTAAACCCCATGAGCTGGTTCTGCAATTCCGGCTTCAACGTTAGGGCTTAGGGTTCCTGTGCCTGGCTTGGTAGTAGTGTTATCTATGCCGGCTTTCTACCTTGGGATAGCTTCTCTATCTCAGCATATGTTCACGGTGCGAGGTTTTTTAGGTTGATCCTGCACTGACGGAGTGAGGCGAGCAGAACACGAGCTACCTTAAGCCGCAAATACGCAAGACTTAAGCCCTAAACCCCCGACACCCAAAGACCCTAAACCCCCAAGTCCTACGGCAGTAAAGCCATAAATCTGCAACCCAAGCCGTCCTTCTCGGAAGGACCATTGCGGAGGGGGCGATGACATGTCAAGGAGGCTCTTCTTAGCAACAGGTGTCCATCAGGGGTGTAGGGTGTAATACGCTTGGGATTTGAGGCACAGCTTTACAAGTGTGCGCTTGTTCATTTCGGGGTTGAAGCACGTTTGGGTTCTAGGGTCTCGGGCTCTTTCTGCTCCTTGGAAGCTCGCTGAAGGGATAGAAAGGCATGGGATTTCAATCTAAAGTCCCATGCCACAGGCCATAGAGAGTTCCATGTGGAGCCTGGAACCCTAAAACCTAAACCCTAAACCCTAAACCCCAAACTCTAAACCCAGCAAGCGTGGCTCCACCCTCCTCTTCTGAGACTCACGGGTCATCAGAGGCTCGACGCTTGGAACATAAGCATCCAAACGGAGAGTCCTGAGTCCCTTATTGGGTTCATTTTTAGGGGATTTGATTTAAGTCACCATAGGGTTCTTTTCTAAGGGATTTGATTTAAGTCACCTTAATAAAAAAACCACTGAGGTACTATAGGGATCTATTATGGTAACTTGAATGAAATCCCTTAACAAGAACCCAGCGCAGCGTAGGGTCACCTGTCGCTGTCTTACTCTACGGGACCTTTGGGGTCAGAACACATGGTGGTTATTCCGTGAGACTTCCTGTGGAGCTACTTCTTGTAGCAGTGACAGATTCGTTCAGAGAAGATGCCCTGGATTGTGCTGACCGTGTCATGTACTAATTTTTCAGGTACGGGGACCCTGATAAACCCTAAACCCTAAACCCTAAACCCTGAACCCTAAATCCTAAACCCTAAACCCTAAACCCTAAACCCTAAACCCTAAACCGCCAAAGAAGACAACGCTCAGCCCCTCCGAAACCCTGCTTAAAGGCTCAGGGGACTTATTGAGCAGGTCTTAATCAGAGCATAGTAGAGCTATTTATGAGTCATAAGTACCCCACATAAGATTATCCGTTTTATATGACTTATATATATATATATATATTATACCTAGATCGAACTAAGTCCCTTCAGCCTGTGAATATAGAGTCGTAGTCTGGGAGTTGTGGCTTCAGTCGTTGGTCACGGTGCATAACCCATCGTGTCACACAGATCCCCAGATGTCTGTCATATAACACCAAGCCCTGACTCAACAACCCTAAACCCCTAAACCCTAAACCCCAAACCCTAAATTCGAAACGGAGAAGCCTTCGAGCTTGCACTACACGCGAGGGCGCATCTATCAAAGCAGAAATGAGCCATAGTACCAATGACCACAGAGATATCAGGCTCGACCCCTCACCCGAATAGACGCAGCAGTGATGTTAGTGGTTATTGAAACCTCAAAGCCATCTGGCCAGCCTTGTATGTATATGTATGTACGTACGTACGTATCTACATACACATAACTCTAGCATGACGAAGCTGTCGCCCTCCAATTACTTTATCAGCCCCCAGCTCCGCCTAGCCCAAGCTCCCTTAGTTTAGCCAACATTCCCGAAGGCAAGACTGCACCAAGCAAGAGCCCGATCCCTTGCCCCACGTGAACCCTAAATCTACAAAGCCCAGGCCGTAAACCCGAAACCCATAGTCCTGCACCCCAAACCCAAAGTCGTAACTTCAAATCCTAAAACCCGAACCGAAGCCTGAGCCCGAAACCCTACGCTTCGGCTGCCAGGCAATGGATTGGCTTGTTCCTGGCGCTTTCGACCATCGTCGGCTTCCTCATCACAGAGCCTGGGTTGGGTTTCAGGTGTTAGGCTAAGTGTTGGGCTCAGGGCTGGGGTACCAGGTTTTCATAAATTAGGTCTGATCTCAGGTTAAGTGTCAGGTTCTTGGACAGGGCATTTATGAGGTCTCTGGTGCATGCACTCCACTCTAGAGGTTCTGGACCCTAGACCCTAAATGTGTCAAACCCTGAACCCTAGATGCTTGACAAGGTGTTTGGAAATAACTTTGGCGTTGGCGTATTTTGTTGTTCACTCGGGTACAGGTGCAAATCGTCACTAGCCACCAACCTTCTCCATCTCGCCTTGTATGTTTAACGAAGTGTGCACATGCTCGACAGTTGCAGGTGTCAACTTGGTCGTGGGTCGGCCAGAGTGTTCCGCTGTTGAAGTTGTCTTCCTTCTGTTGCTGTGAGCCGCCAATTCATGAAGCGAAAGTGGAGGCTTGGGCCCATACAGGCAGCCCGTGCCACAAGACCGTAAGCCATGCGAGAAGAGTTATGCGCCGGGCAAACCCGGAGCTGTCATAAGTGAGCGACCAGACACCTGGTCTGGACTGCCACCGGAAGAAGAGGTACCGTTCACGGCTAACCCTAAACCCTAAACCCTAAACCCTAAACCCTAAACCCTAATCCTTACCATCTTAACAGTTGTCACACCCTACCACCCTATTGCCTTGAACACTGAACCCTAAATGGGAGTTTCCGAAAATAGGGGACCCTAATATAGTACCCCAAATAATAGGATCTTTATTATAAGGACCCCAAAATAAGGTACCCCTAATTTTTGGAAACTCCCAAGTCAGCCCGAAGACTCGAAGTCCTAAGCACTAGGAAGCCCTGGAACTCTTTCTGAGGAGTCGTCCAGCTCCCTTACACGGAGGCAGCACAGGAGGGGTGAATGTGTGGAAGAATCGTCATGGTTTGGGCTTCCGGGTTTAATGACGGCTCAGGTTTGGGATTTAAGTGTATTCGGGCCTGCAGTCTTGTGGGTTGTGAATCGTCTTTGGTGTAGATCTACAGCTAAGACATCTTGTGAGGTCTCCGTTTTCACGCCACGGTCTAACTCGACAGCACTATGGGGTTTCCAGCAGGACTCTGGGCGTACTCATCTTTGCCGCGATCATGTGGATCTCAGAGGCCATTCCCATACCACTCACAGGCGCAGCTAGGGTTTCGGGTTTAGGGTTTAGGGTTTAGGGATTAGGGTTTCGGGCTTAGGGTCCAGGGTCTAGGGTTTCGGGTTTAGGGTTTTAGGGTGGAGGGACATGTGTTCAAGCCAGCCGGATTGAGGCTCTGGGCTTGGACAAGGTGTTGGAGCTAAGCCTTGAACCTATAAACCTTAAAGCAGACCACTAATCCCAGACTTTGTCTAGGTTGGTTTTTGGGACATTTTTATTTTCCCTAATTGGGTTTATAAGGGACCCTTTATATAAACATTTGTCAGAGGGTTTAAAGGCCAACCCAGTTGTTTTAATGGTAGAGTAAAGGACTCTCTGTTACGCAGACAGGCCGCATCAGTATCCTGTGATGCATATTGTACATGATCCCCGAAATGGTACCACAAGGCGTCTCGAGCTTCGAGTGCATCACAGCTTCTACACTCTAGCTTACGAACATGTTTGGCCTCGTTGATACAACGAACGGTGGAAGCATTCTTCGAGGTGCAGTTTTTTCGGAGACACTGTCAGATGTGAAATCCGTGTGTATGTCAAATCAGAATGTGGGCGTTTGCTGTCGACAGCACAAGCACGTCAATCCAATCTAGTCCTCGGGTGCCAAAATGCACTTTTGAGCTCGAACACCCCAAGTGCAGTGGCATCTAATGTAGGGGCCTAAATAGTTACCTATACTATTTTGGTGGTTTCTTATTAACTATACGATAAAGGAGCCCAAAACCCTAGTCTAATTATTAAGGCCCCACACCCTACACCAGTACTGAAATTCGGATAGGTATGATCGGCCCTAAACCCCCTAAACCCCCCTAAACCCCCTACACCCCCTGAACCCCCTAAACCCTAAACCCTGCATTCGGACAGGTATGATTGGCCCTAAACCCGAAACCCCCTAAACCCCCTAAACCCTCTAAACCCTATAAGCCCTGAATTCGGACAGGTATCATCGTGGGGCCGCTCCTCTTTCTGCTGGACGTCTGTCGCCTCGGCACTTCCCTCTCCGCTTACTTCAGCAACGTGACGCTGGTACTTTTCGGAAGCTCTTTCATCTCCATCGACTCTTGGTCTAAAGGCGGCTTAGGGTTTAGGGTTTAGGGTTAAGGCGGCTTAGGGTTTAGGGTTTAGGGTTTAGGGGTAGGGTTTAGGGTGCCCGAAGCTGGGTATTAGGATTGTTTTTGAAATATCAATCACTGTTATGGGTCTATGGTGCGCTTTTGGATAGACGCTACTATACTATTGACGTTTAATGTTCTGGGTAACCCTTCCCGAAACGAACGACGGTGTCCACTGAATGAGGAGATCCTTGTGGAAACGGGCCATGAACGTATGCTTTTTGTACAACAGCAGCCCATGTCGTGTGTCTTTTTGGTTCCGAACTGCTACTAGCATGTATGCATCAATGACGGCAGCATAGCAGCAGATAGCAACGTTTTGCAACATACTGCATGAATAGCAGAAGCGATGTGGAGCAATGGATTGTGCAGAGCTGCGTGACCACGCACAGCAGTTCAAAGTACACATGCAGGGATGTACACCTTGCTGGTTTCGCCACAGGCCAAAGCACTTCATGTCCTCAATTGTTCCGTCACCATGCGCCACACACATCAGCAGATCTCCCCCATGCAAGTGTGGAAAGAACGGGTCTCGCAAGGTTGCAGAGGCCCGGAACTCATTTGTGAAGAACACAGTTAAGAACAGAGCGTGCTCTAGAAGCTGACGGTATATATATATATATATATGTATATGTGTATATATGCGGCTGAAACCCGAAGCATTCAACCGTAAGCAGTGCACAACACCCCGAAGCTCTGGACGGCTGCAATAAGGCCATGGAGCGACATGGCCTCGACGCGCGCTTCGCAAAGGCCTCCGAAGCCTGGGTGTGGATTCAAAGGTGTTTTGCATGTGCTTCGGAACGTTCCGTAGCGCTTCAGAATGAAGCTTTTACTGCAAAGGTTGAGGGTTTAGGGTTTAGGGTTTAGGGTAGGTTTAGGGTGTCGGACCTCTTGCCCAACCGTTTATCAAAGGGTTTGGCACTCAAACCGACAGTGGCCTCAACCCGTGGCTCCAATACCCTATTTCCTCGAAAGCCCCCAAGGTTTCGGATCCCAAACGGTTTAGGGTTTAGGGTTTAGGGTTTAGGGTTTAGGGTTTAGAATCATGCTTGTGCCACCTTTACCTGGGGATTGGTGAGGGGTTCAAGGTTTTTCTCATGGTTTCGGAGCCCTTGGTACTGCTGTGCCCTTACAGCTTGTCCTTGTGTTATTCTATAGCATGCCCCAAAACCTTTGTCTAGTTGATGAAGGCCCCCCGAAACATGAGAACCACGCAGAGGCCATCACGACCTGCTCCTGGGTGGAGTCGAAGCCTACGAGGATGCGAACGGCCATGATGTTGGCTGGCTGTGCTGCTTGGATCCGACTTCGGAACCGCAGAATCCCAACTCCTACAGTCAGCCCGAAATCCAAACAACTTACCCTAAACCCTACACCCTGCACCCTAAACCCCAAACCCTAAACCCTAAACCCCAAACCCCAAAACTTAAACCCTAAACCCCAAGCCCTAAATCCCAAACCCTAAATCCCAAATCCGAAGATCGCAGCCTACCCTGAAACTCGCGACTCAACACCCATCGGCGTTGTGCTGGCAGTCCCAGATGTGCATAAACCCTACCTTAATCCCTAAAAATAACCTACCGCTGGAAGGACCTATAGAACGAAATCATAATGCAAATCCCGAAAAGAGGGGTTGGGGGCTTGTAAGTTTACGGTTAGGGCTGGGGTCTTAAGGCTTGTAGGATCTTGTGCAGTTTGGGTGAAAAGGGTTTACATGTTCCCAGCAGAGTTTTGGACTTTTGGTGTTCAGGGGTTCCTACTGTGATTCGTCCCTCGTGTCTTTGCCTTTGCTCGTCGTATATACCGCATCGTCGTCGCCACCATCATCCTCGGTAGTCGCAGTCTGTTATGACACATTTTCATTTATTGCGCTGGCTAGTGTTCGGATCGTGGCAATATCCCAAACCGTACAGACCCTAAACCCTAAACCGCTTTGGCTTTGGAGCTTTCGGGTTTTAAGGTTTAGGGTCGAGGGCCTCAGGGTTCGGGGTTCCGGGTTTTTGTTTGGTTTGAGGCCTGATGCACTTGCCATGACGAGGTCATGTCGATGTGGGTCACGAACACAGGACCTCCGTGAATGCTATCAGTGGGCTTTAAAGTCTTTGGAGGCTGGGCTTGGGATGTTAGTATGTAGGTTTGAAGTCCAGGGTGCATCTCTAGTTGAGGCCCGGGTCTGGTGGAGTGTTGTTGTCGCTTGTGTTGGGGGCCTTAGTCTATCAACCTTCATCAGTTCCGATACCTTGAATAATTCAAGATGCCATCGCTTGTTCCCAGCTCTCCTGAAGACGTCTCGCTGAAGAAAATTGGGTTCCTGTGCCCTTACTCTTTCCTGTCGTTGGATCCGAGAGGCTTTGCCCATGCAATCGTCATATTGCCTGAGGAGGATTAGTGTACAACCCACATAGGCATGTGACCTATGAGGCCATGCGACAAGCTTAAAGTCTCTAAGTCAGGCTTTGGACAAGCCCAAAGAGCCCTTGTAGATACCGGCGAAGTCTTTCCAGCATCCGACACGGTGCAACCACAACCCCGCCCCCTCTACCCGTGCCTGTTCGTAAGGAAGCCCTAAGCCCAAAGCACTCAACCTGGAGCTCAAAGCCAAAAACCTTAGCTGGCGAGTCTCGAATGTAACCCCCAGCGCGCCATGCAGAACTGAGCCATACTAAGCTCCTTATAGAGCCCTTTTTTGAACCCGGTTAAGACTCTTCCCTAAACCCTACACCCTAAACCTTAAACCGTTCTTATAAAACCCACTCAGCCCCAGAACCCCAAGCCCTGAATCCCAAGGCCGCAGTGCCTGAGCCTCCAAGAGTAAGGTAAACGGCTAAATAGTTACCCATACTATTTTGGGGCTTTTGGTTGAGGGTTTAGGGTTTAGAATTTCAGTACAATATGCCCCAAAAACCTATTCTACTCATGAAGGCCCCTACATTCAGAGCTGGAAGGATCGTGTTACATCCTCACGCCCATCGTCCTCAAATCCTTCGGTGCAGAGAGGCAGAGGCACCTTGGCCAAAGCCTTCCAACGTCCCTTCTATCGCCCTAGAAAGTCTCAAAATCTAGGGGTCTTATTATTAGAACAGGGTTTTGGTGTACTTTTATACTATTCTAATAATCAGGAGCCCTCAAACTAGCATAGGTAATTATTAAGACCCCTACATTACCTTTCCAGTACCAGGAGGCAGCAAACAAAGCCTGTACAAGGCCTTTCTAAATCAAAAAACAGCCTTTATGCCAAAAAAGGGTGAAGGCCCTAAACCCTAAACCCTAAACCCTAAACCCTAAATCCTTTACCCCCGCGAAAGGGTGGAAGGATTCAGGTTTTGGGGTTTCGGGATCCGAAACACCAGTGCCATGCCCTCCTACCTCAGCCCCGACAAGCCTTCCACCACCCTTGATTTTAGGGTTTAGAGTTTAGGGTTTAGGGTTTAGGGTTCCCTCTTCCCTCTTTAGTTGCAGGAGACTATACACCACCCACCCTTCCCAAAAAAACATCAACATTGTCAGGCCCCTAAATAGTGAACAGCTAGACTCCGCAACCACCGAACCTTCTAACTCCCAGATGCCCTGAGCCTTGTTATCAAATCCTCTACATTGACCTCCTAATCCCTCTTAGCTTTGAATGCCGTAAACCTGAGAGGTCCCCCTAAGCCTCTGCCCGACACCCCCTCTTCCTCATGGATCACGGGGCTCAGTAAGTTGGCTGGAGATCTCCCGACAGAATTCTACCCTAAACTTCCGGTGACCTAAATGTAGGGTTACTGGGTTACATTAGATCTGATGACTAACCTTACGGTTGAGGTTAATGAAGCCCAAGGGCTGCCGCTAATATACTCTACATCTTATATAACTTGATTAAGAAACCTGAAGCATGCTTACTATTTAGATCTCTCGGGCCTCTCGTAGCAAAGAGGAGGTTGGAGGACCACGAGGAGCAACGCACGCTCATGGGATCACTTCTCTCTGTGGCCTATGCCTGCAACACTGGCGGCATGGGTGCTCAGGCATGGACTTACGGTTCAGGGCTTTCGGAATTAGGATTTTTCTTGGGGTTGGGGGTTTATGGGGTTTCGGGGGTTTGGGATTTAGAGGGTGTAGGGTCTTGAGGGTTTCCTTATCAACTCTCTTGCCGGATTGCTTTGTTAGATCATAGGATGTAACCAGAGAGATTCCAGGTTCAGAGGTTCCTAGACAGGGGAATGTTGGCGGCAGTGAAGGCTCTGCACGTCAAGCTTGTGAGCGGCGACATAGGACACCCTGAACTCCAAACACTTAAACAGTTTAGGGTTTTCGGGTACTCCATACCCTGTAGACTGTTAGTCCGTTTGTGGCCATCGTGTCCACCAGCCTTGCGACGCAATATTCTGCTGTACAGCTCTCAGATAAGGGAGCTGCTAGACAGACTCTTACATGTCTGTTTTTTGGACTGTACCCAACACCCCTGACTGCCCAACGCCCACACCCTCCATTGAGTTCATTGAATATTGAAGCCTTCTGTTTCCAGGTTTGGCGTTCCAAGGAACCCCCTCAGCCGACTTCATAAAGTATATCAAACTAGACTACTCAATCCCCATTTGAAAGTCTATAAGGACTCTTCAACTTCACAAAACCCTGTAGAAGCCCAAGGAACCTTGGTTGGAACTGGCTCCAACCTGGTGGCCGTAAGGTTCCTACGAGAAATGGGTGTGCAGGTCGATTTCGTGCGGTGGATGGTTGTTGGTGCGTCTCAGCTGCGACTCCTACGCCTCAGTGATTCCAGGGTTGAGCGAGAGGAAGGTTATGGTTTGGGGTGGGGCTTTGGTGTAGTCATTCTCGTAATTCTTGGTTCTTGGAAGCCATGCCGAGTTCTTCAAAGGGCAGAAAAAAGGTTTGTTACCCTCTGCCCACATCGTAGCTAAGGAGTTGGGGGATTAGCATTCAGGGTGTAGTGTTTCAGGCACTTTTCAGGGCTTGCTTGAAAGGTCTAGTAAGTTGAAATGCGACTGTCTGGGTTGACGGGTTGGCAGAGTCGGTTGTGGGCAGCTGTGCAGCCTTCATTTTGGAGTTCGCCGTGCGGCTTCGGAAGAGGAGCAGGGCCCGAAGCTCTTCTCATCGCAAGTCTTTCGGGCTTTTGGGGGAGGCCCGCAATTTGTGGACGTGGGCTTTGCGACCCCGAACCCATAGTTGGGGTGTTCTATACCGGCTGTTATACCAAGCTCATGCTGGTCTAGTCTATCCTCATGTAGTCATTGTCGTCCACGTCTGTTTCTTGGGTTTTATAAAGGTTTAGGGTTTGAATTCCAAGGCGGAAAAGGCACCAAAACACCAGAACCTCATTCCAGAGGCAAATTCAGCAGGTAATCCTCAAACCCCTGTAGGGAGAACTCTTTGGCCGCGAAACACCCGACGGAATCCAATTAGGGCTCGGGTTTGAGAACCCTAAACCCCTAAACCCTAACCCCTAAACCCTAAACCCTAAACCCTAAACCCTAACCCCCCCCCCCCAAAAAAAAAAAAAAAAA